TTAGCCGGTACCGGTACCTTCTGCGTGCCACGGTACCTCAATAAACGTCTACAACCACAAGTCTTCTGGTTTAACCAGCTGTAACTTGGTAGTGTTGCGAGCTCGGGGTTCCCGTTCTGAAGCTTGTCAAGGCCGGTCGTAATCGACGCCTTCAACTCCATCCACCACGGAGGGAATATTGCAAGCCAAAGAATCAGCCAACACAATCAACTGGGCTCGCCATTAGCCGAGGCCACACCGACCTGGGCTGAACTGAACAAACCAAAATACAGCAGCTCATGCGTATCTCTACTAGACTCTACATGGGTAATCAGCTCCAGTGGAGATTAGCCGTACATACCCAAAAAACATGCAACATTCTTGAATACAATAAGACATCCGTGATCGTTCATGAAAAATTAGTGATTAGGCAGTAAAATTCACTTTGGTTGAATTAATTTTGAACAAAGAAGTAGACGACTCGTTTGAAGAATGCAAATAAATGAAATATTCGTAGTCACCGCGGAAGAAAAAGTTAAGTAAATGATAGATGAGTTATAACTCACCCTCGTCCATTGGAGATTTATTTATGATAGCGGTATTATCTTCCAGTGCTGGATTAACTTCAATAACCTTCCCTGAGGCAGGGGAGTATATTTCACTAACAGCTTTGACAGATTCCACTACACCACACTGCTCTTATACTGGTTAGTTGGACCTAATCACACGCCTACCGTGGGCATGAACCTCGTGGTCCTTTTCCGGAAGTTCCAAAAAGACAATATCACCGAGTTTCTGTTCGGCATATTCTGAGATGCCTACGGTTCCCGTTTTTGAGTTATGATCAATTTTGATCCATTCGTGTTTTCAGTGAAATAAAGGTCTGAGATATCAAGGACTTAAAGAAAGAAAAAATCGAACCAGATAGCAGGCGATTTGTTGTGCACAAGCTCCTTAAAATTAAAGGAAAGCGACGAGATCCAAGAAATGCGCAACGAGCAGCAACCACACAGGCCATTCTGAGAAGATGCGACCTTGAAATATTGAATTGAGGGCTAGGTCAGTCAGTCAGTCAGTCAGTCAGTCAGTCAGTCAGTCAGTCAGTCAGTTTGCACAGG